CGGTTTCAATAGCTTACAGTGCCGTCACGATGAACTTGGTGCGCCGTTCCGCCTGGCATGCAAAAGCCCATGTATGTCACACTGCTAAAGCCTTGCGGAAAAAAGAAAACCCGGTCGTGCTCACATCGGTAAAGGACAAACCTCAATACAAGCCTAGGGGGGGGAAAAAACTCGTTACAAAAACAAAATTTGACAACAAGAGAAGAGAGAACGATATGTCGCTCATGCTGGCAAAGGAGAAGAATGGCGAATGTGGCAGACCTGGTCGCGGATAGTCCTTTCCAATGATGCATTTTGCTTTCTTCTGGACATCAATCGGTGATGTCCATGGCTCATAAATATATTGACTGGGCATGTCTGTTGGCAACAAGCAGAACAGCAAAAGAAAGTTAAAAAAAAAGACACTCAAGGCCATAGTAGGCCGAGGATTTCCGGAAAAAAAAACGATAAAGAAAAAGAAAAATGCAAGGAAAATGAGCAATAGCGAAATGATACAATTCCAGATTGCAAAATCACAATGAAACATTATGAAAGCGAGATAGTTGTGAGCTGTCCGGAAAGCAGAAATGCAATGATATCACAACGAAGCAGTACCAATGCAGCAAACTCAATTGTCAATGAGAGGCTGCACCACACTCTAGCCACCACCAACAATGTCTTCGAAGCTCTTCCTCCTACCGGCGCTCAGCGCCCAGACTACTATCCTACAGCTACTACACTCGCTAGCCTATCAAACGAGAATGCAACCAGTTGACGTCAGCAGCAGCAACCGAATTACATGCAGATGTCGACCATGCAGCCGAAGGAAGTGGAACCTGCGGGCCTCTCTGCCCCATTCCCCAACAGCCCCATCGCGCCAGCTGACCAGACCAAGTACCATGAGGCGCAGGATGACAGCACAGAAGACAGCCGCAACTTGAGAGCGGCCACCTGTGCTGCGGTCTCTACCACAGGGGGAGTGACAATGACAAAGGAGGACAACCAAAACCAAGCTACCCACAACATAGTCAGAGGTGCTGCATGGAGGCCTGCTCAATACAGGGACTGAGACCAGACAACCAGGTTCCCCTTGAACTACATAACGACGAAAGAGGAAAGATGGAAGCAGGAACACGACAACAGCGGGAGCTGGATCCTCTGAACAACAGACCGCTTAACAGCAGCGCCAGAAGAGGAGGAAGGACAAATTTCAGCAATAAACATATACAACCGGGCCATTCAGCAGTACGAAGGCCAGCAACCAGGACAATAGCATAATAACTGGGACGCTGGACCCGGTTTCCAGCAAACTCAACATTGTCTTGTAATATTTGGGACGCTGGACCCGGTTTCCAGCAGGTCCAGCTCCCCACCAAGAGACGGAGCCTTCACCCGAGGGACCACTCGAGGGAGATGCTCTTATCACTCTCCCAAGTGTCGCCCTCCCCAGAAGTTTCTTAAAAAAAGGCGCTGACACTGAAACGGACAGATGATAAATCAGGGGTGTGGGACTTCTTGCGGTGTCGACTGGAGGTCAACCAGAAATTTCCTTATTTGGATAGTACGCAAAGGACAAAGAATGAGGACACTATTTGGACTACAGGTAAGGTGGTTTACAGGGCAGGCCAGGACTCACAGTCTTGGACCAGTCGGAAGCAGAAACTGGCCGGAATAACAGGCTGGTTAGATCGAATTGACAGGAATACTACGGACAGAGTGCGGATTCCTAAGCAAGTCCTGACCTTACGAAAGGAGTGCCAGCACTGCTGGGCCAAGGGGTTCCGGGACCAGTTTGTGGGGAACGCGGTCAGTAACTTTGCGCGGACACGGGACCACGTATGGCAGTTTACTGCGAATTTGTTAGGTAGGTAGGAGTAATGAGTATAGGAACTTGACTATTAATAGTGGTAAATGCGACTTCTTAGTCCCCTTCAGCAAAACTCGTACTGGCAGCCGTCTCCAGCCAACGTCTTGACGTTGGCCAGCGACGACCTGCACCTTTTGTTGTCGGTATGATCGGTGGTTCATAGGGTGGGTGGTCAGAAGGTGGAGGTGGAAGGGATGGGACATGTATGATGTTATTTTTTCCAAATTTGACATCCCGTACGCGGGTATTTGCTGGACTTGGCCTTCAATCATTTGGTCGTTTCTTGATCTGTGATTGCATGAGTTGATATTTCACTTCTTACAAAAAAAAAGAAACAGAAAAAAGGAAATGGAACAGGAGAGCGAGCGCAAGATCGCCACTGCTGCCAAGAACACAACCAACATCTCATGCAAAGCACTCAACAAGTCTTCTTTTGCAAACGCCCAATGGGGGCCCCGGCCTCAATCTTCTTATTGGTAAAACAAAACAAAAAAAAGAAACAAAAAATAAAGTGCATCCACCGCCAATATCCTTCCTCGCCATAGCCCACCTTGACCAAAAATGTTCTTCTACGCACTTCTTACTCCATAGATACTGCCGGGGTTCCAGCGAAGTATCCAAGAGTCCCTTTCTGTCGGCGCCAGAACCGACTTCGTCAGGGGGCAAGCACCCCTTTGGGAAAAAGGACAACGGTCAACCATATATACGGTTGCCGTCCTCAAGTTCCTATTCTAAGTCCCGGTACCTTCCCGGTCCGGTGCCTTATTCCCGATGAATTTCCCCCGTGTCTCAGCAAAAAATTCACGCGGGTACCTGAGAAGCCTCAGTTCCCTTCCAAGTGTCAGTAACAGCATCTCTGCTAGTTCCACCAGGTGCAGGTTCGAATCCTTGCCAGAGCGCTGTTGATTACGACCTTTTTCTGCTTCTTATCCGTCTATGACCCGAAACTCTGCATAGATCTGTAGGAATAGTCATCTGACCACACGTTATCCTCATTTTTTGCCTTATACCAAATCTCCACCTTGTTTGGACACTTGCAGACCCTCGATTGGCATCCCAAAAACATCCAGACCCCTTCCCCTGAGTCTGTCATCACCATCTGCAGGTTCCTATCGTACATATTCTTCAACTGTTATACCGCGTCAAACGGGGGGACTCAGCCATTCGGGTAACATGCTTTATGTTCTAGACAGTAAGCTTGGCAAAGGTCTTATGAAGTGGGGGATGGGCAGCCTTCTGGATGCTAGAATCCAAAGCCAACACTGTCCCACACACCACACGCAACCCACTCACACGCGCACTCACACCCGTTTTGGCTGAAGACCTTACTGATACCGACTGGGAGGATCCAGCTCACTATCTCAGTTGGATGGCACCAAGAGTGCCCCAGGCGACCGTGGGGATTGAACCCACAACCTCCTGAATGCCAAAAAAAAAAAAAAAAAAAAAACAAATAGCAAGCTACTGAGGGCTGTACCACCACACACGCGACCAGAAAAAAGGGCATTTCAAGCTCTAAACTACTAGCAGTGTATCTACCTGTGTTCTACCAGAAGATCAGAAGATTCATGCTCATGTTGCACATTTGGTCAGTGGTGGAGCAAGGCCCTCGATCGCCACAGCTCTCGGGGAAAAGGTAAGTACGTTTTTTCTTCTTTTTTTCCCAAAAGTCAGTACGTTTTTTTTTTTCTTTTCTTTTCTTAATAAGCCCTGCCAACGAGGCAGGGCAGTCTGTTCTAGATTTTGTTACTTGGGCGTAGTAAACAGCAGAATGCTTCGATACTGTATTTCTGGGAAGATGCAGTAGAAGAGAAAAAAAAGAAAAGCGGAAATGACCCAGACCCAAATCGCCCGCCCAGGGGTGAAGTCCCACCGCCCAAGTTTAAGTTTAGAAAACGCACACCATTTTGACATTAATAAATTCGAATCAAGAAATTAAAAAACTGAAAAAAAAACGCTAAAAACAGGTTTTCTCCTTATTTTTGATTAAGTAACAAGTCTGGCACAGTCGGAGTGAATGTCTCCGTGGAAAAAGGATACTTCCCGCGGTGAGGGGACAGGAGGTCACCATTCGTAAAATAGACAGGGACAACATGGATGGCCAGATGCGTTCATTGCCCAAAGAAGGAAGAGAGTCTGATGCGAGAGAGCCAAACACAGCTGTCAGAGTTCCTCCGTTTCAGGGTGTAATGATGCCTAAAAAAACAAAAAAAACGAAAGGCAAATAAGTTGAGAAATGTACCCAACCCTCCTCGGTAGGGTAGTTTTCTCAATGGAAAATGGTTTCCCGCGCAAACGGAAAGGGCCAAAGCATACAACAAAATGGATTTCACGTCAAAGAAAAAATGTACAAAACGACCAAATCTAATAGGTTATTCTCCTGTACTTCGGTATCCAACTTCGGCCGTGGGACTTCACCCCAGACCCATATCGTCCGCCTCCAGTTTGCAACAGGAAAAAACTATATCCCTCAAAAGGGAAACAATGGACAGCGCCTTATACTAAATTGCAACGACCTTGACAAGATAACCTGCCCTACGACCGGTCTTAGGGACGACTGCAACCGGACCCTATTTTCTGCTGTCGGAGACCCCAAACGAACCCGTCCTAGCAAAACTGCAGGACCTTACCCAAAATAGAAAGAAATGAAACGACGAAAATGGAACCCACACAAGCACAGCCTCCTGGCTGCGAATTTTTCCATTATGCCCTCCGCCCTTTGAACTTCGTTTGTCGTGGCTCCCTCCCACACAAATACCGACAGATCATCTGATAAGCCAGGCTCCGTACTCAGAGGCTTCCTGTACCCTCAGGGGAAAATCCCACGTAAAGCCTCGAAGTACGGGTTCTAGGTGATTGGGAAGAATTGTTTTTGTTTTTGTTTTTCTTCTTTCCTCCTTTTTCCTTTTCCTTTAACAGAGAGGAGGGACGGAACAGAAACTTATTCCTTTTCGGGGCTGCCGCTGATGTCGTTCTCGCATGACCGGTTAGTGGCCGTGCCGAGAAATCCAAGAAACAGTTAGGAATTAGTGTGGGTAGGAATTTGAATTTTTGCGTGCCACGTAAACCCGTTCTCCCGCTTTGCATCCCCATGCCATTTTCCCTTCTTGCCGCGCATTCCCTTCTTGTATGCCTCTTCGTCTTCCCCCGAGCGAAGTCCGATCCTCTCCTTACCCATCATCGCGAATGATTGATTGTGTGAGTGGGATCCTGAACTCTTCTTTGCTGCCTCTCCTTCCTCCTCTTTTTCCAACTGGTCTTACCTTCTTTCCACCTCTAATCGCAGATTCTCGCATCCCGTCCTCCAGTGGATCCGTCATGGCGTTCGTCTGAGATTTATTGGGACTTAGCATATTCATGTTTCCAAAATTATCGAACTGCGACACATGACAAAACGCGTTATCTCTTCTTCCCAATTCAAGAAGGCCCTGCTTTGTGAGAAACCTCCTCCTCTCATCATTCCTAATCGTACTCTTCTTCCTCACCACTCCACTTTTACTTCCTCCACAGT